TGGCTACTTCTCAGTGGTTGAGATGTGGCAGTTTCTCACTAGCTGGGTTGTTGATGGGCAAAGGGAAAATCTTCACTCCTCCTGCTGTTGTAGTAAAGTAAGCTTCTTCCTGTAAGCGTATATAAAATAAACTCCAATGTGTGGTATATGCATGAGAGCTTCCTTCTTCAGGGCTGCCTGACTCCGTTGTGAACAAAGCCTTCTTTTATTCATTTTCACATTTCCCCCTTCTGTTCAAGATGTTTCCTTGAAAACATCACTGATCAGGAGCCAGGTTTTCTGCATTTAGTGGTTTTGTCCTTTGGTGCCAGAAAGGACCTTCCCTGGTTGTCATGACCCATGTCAGAGGCAAAGTGCACAGGCTGGAAAACATACAGGTCACACCTGAGTAACAAGGAAGGGTAGGAGGGAGAACTCTCAGGCATTTCCCTTCTGAAGTTTATGTATTACCAGGGTTGTAAATAACCAGTGGAGATCATCTCGAAGTGTTGAGTTAGCATCTCCCTATTTGGCATGCTGGTTCTACAAAGACTTGACAGGCAATAGGTACAAAGTTTAAAAATGATCATACAAAATGAAATTAAAAGTAATGTGACAAATCCAGTTTGTGTGATGGCTCTAAACCAGGAGCCCAGATCTAAAGGTAACCAGAGAAAGAGGCCAAAGGACCACGGATCATTACGTGAAATTTATTGTAGCCAATGTGCTTGTTCCCTAATTTTGTGCAGTTGGGGGTCTAATACCCCAGAAGAATTTATCCATATAGGACAGGTGGTATTGCCTATTCAAACACCTCCTTGTTCAGCGAGTAAATAACCGAGGGCTATTCAATTATCCAAAACTACTTTAGGCAACAAGTCAAGTGATTAATTTTGGGCTGCTATTGTCTTGGCTGTGGTTGACTAACTCTCCCAGTATTAGGAAGAAATTCCTGATCATCTCTTCCTCAGCAAACCCAGAGTCCTGTATGCCTCCTAGAAGTTTCTGTTTAAGATGGCCATGGGCATTTAGTGGAGTAGACCAGTGGTAGGCTTCTGACTTGTTATGAAGAATAGTAAATACAGGAAGAGCACATTGCCCTTTTCATCCTCCAGCTGTCAAGACAGTGACCTGCCCCAAGTATAGGGGCCATTATGAAACCTCCTCACATAAAGGAGTTGCCAAGTACTTGACCAGTGAAGTGAGTTTCCCAGTCACTATGAAGTTTGAGGGGGGTTACCAAGTAGGTATAATATTTTATAATAGGATTTTTAGCCATAGAAGACACAGTAGCCTGCATAACAGGGAAAAGCTTCAGCCCAGTGCAAAAACATACAAACCATGACTAAAACATAATTTATCCCTGAGGTGGGAAAAGCTGAATGAAATCCATTTGCTAAACCTCGAATGGCCCATTGGGGAATTTAAAGTGTCCAGGAGTGGTGATTGTATTTTGTGTTTCTCTAGGTTGTATTTTGGGCAGGTGGGGCAAGAAAATAGGCACTTTCTGCAGTTCTGTCGTTATTTCCCCACTAGTCTGGGTTCGTAAGAGTTATGATCTTATCAGTGAACCAGTGATTCAATGCATGTACAGTAGTAGTCAGTAATGGGAGTTTTCTGGACTCTGCTAGGACTAGGTTTCTATTTGGGCCAAACCAAATTTCTCTTTTTATTGAACCAACAGCTATGAGGTTTCCAGTTTTTTCCCTTTCCTGGGGCCAATTTTTGAGCATCTCTAGTAAATTTTTCTCGATTATCATTGTGGGAACATTTCTGTGGACCATGACAGAGGCATGGTTGTTTGTTCTTCTGAGTGCAGTGTTCCTGTAGAAACATCAGTGAGGTGTTTGGAATGCCCAGGGACCTGAAAAATGACCAAAGTGGCAGTAGAAGTATGGCATCTAATAATATGGCTTTTTGAAGGTAAGAACCATTTTAAATTTTATCTTAGTTGGAAGTATGGAAGCCTTGCTGTTTCCATAGCATTCCAAAGTCATAAGCTACTCCAAAGGAATAACTCCTGTCTGTACGGATATGGATCTTTGGCTAAATGCAGGCCTGAGTGAGAGCACACAATTCGGCCTGTTGGGATGAGGTAGCCAAAGGCAAAGGTACCACCTCAAGAACATCAAAGAGGTGCAGCTGTATAGCTCGCACAAAATGTATCATTTTTACCTTTTAAATAAGAAACATCAGAAAACCATGGAAAGTCGGCATGATAAAGCAGTTTCCTGTAAGTCATTATGGGAATCAGAACGTGGTTTGTCAGTAGTAAGCAGTAGTGAGAGGTTTTGTCCATGGAGGGAGAAGAATCACAGGGTTAAACTTATTGAACTGAGGAAGAATCTGGTAAGTAGCAAGAAGATTTTATAGGAGGTGAGGCAACCAGATGAAAGCTATTGAATAGGGTCAGCATTTAAAAAGGCTTCAACCACATGGAGTGCAAGAATAGTTGTGGGGGGTGGGTGGGAATCTCATGATTATTTCTTCAGTGGCCTTCACTAAAAGAACTATGGGAGAAATGGTCTGAGACAAGGGAGGGTACCCTTGTACAGTAGGGTCTAGTTATTGGCTATGATACACACCCTTTAGGTAAATGTGGTCCCCATGTTTTTGGGTGAGTACCCTAAGAGCATTCCTTTATTTTTAACGTACAAAAAGGAAAAAGAGAAATTGATCATCGCAATATCCACGGGCAGAGGGATTTATTAAGCTTTCCTTTAAGGCTTTATATATTTATTTATTTTCCTTAAAGGCTTTAAAGGCTAAGTCATCTTGATCTTCCTAAATAATATGGTCAAGTTTGTAGTTTTTTAAAATAAAACATCTATGGGATGGGCCATAAGAGAGAGATTTGGACAATTTCCACAATCAGTAGCTAGCTAATTCCCCCCAAACCCTCATAGTTGGTACCTAGTTTTGAGTTTTGGGAAATTCAAGATGCCATGAACCCTATTTGGATCTAAATGAGGTCCTTGTTCCAAAATCCGGTGCCCTAGATAGCAAACCTGAATTTGAACAAAGCACAATTTTCTTTCTTTCTTTTTTTTTTTTAAGAGACTTCATGTCCCTTTAAAGCTAAACGTTTTTGAGTGCTGTGAAGTGTGTAAACCTGGCGATTCACAGACCTGTACCCCTGGGGATAAAAAGATATTATATGTTTAAAAAAAAAAAAAAAAGCTAAACGTTTTACCAGATGAATGCTGTTCACCTGTGAAGAGGCTAGGAAAGAGATCAGAGAAGGAAGTCATCTACGTAATGTAATAAGGCACAACCTCCAGGAAATTTTGTATCATCTAGATCAGCCTTTAAGGTTTGTGAGAAGTAAGAAGGGGTTTCAGGAAAACCCTGGGGCATTACTGTTCAGGTGTATTGGTTGTTCTTCCCAAGTAAAGGCAGAGCTATTGGCTGGCCTTATGCACTGGGTAGTATATAAACCAACCAGTTAAAAAATGTGCTTTCAGTGGGGGATGGAGGCTCATAAATATGGGAATCAGTAAAACAAGGTGGTGAAGGATGACAACACTGTTTATGGCTCAGAAGTCCTGCACAAACCTCTATCTGTAGCCATTCAGTAGCATGAATGAGTCAGGAGTCTAAGTGATAGCAAGGTTAACAGGCAGCATAAAGTAAGAGGAAACTAATGGCTAAGAACAACCCTAGTTATTATTTATATTCAAGTCAAAGAAACACTTTTTCCATGGATTCTTGTTGAAAGAGTACTATGTGATATGAACAATATCCTCAACAGACATTTTAAACTGAAACAGTTATGAGTTTTATAGGAATGCTTATTAAAAACATCCCTCACCAGGGAACTTTGACTACATCCTCAGAGGCTGGCAGTGATTTGATTTCTGTAAACAATTAAAAATCACTTTGGCTAAGGTTGAAGGTGGAGGTGGGGGTTTGCCTGGAAAAGGGCACAAGGGAATATTCTGGAGTAATGAAAATATTCTGTATCTTGATTATGACTACTCAGATATATATATTTATTAAAACTCATGAACAGAACACCAAAGGAGTGCATTTGCATCTCGATTAAAAATAAAAACAAAACTCTCAGGCCAAGTCTGGATAATTACAGCCAGAAAAATAGGCATAGCAAATTAAAATTTTGGACAAGTATATAGAATACTTACATACAGTGATTCTAATTCTTTTCAAGGGTAACATAATTAATTTATCCAAACAAAAATACCGTTAGTTTGTCTTTGCTTTTATTTACTATCAGGATGCAAAAATTCCAAACTGCTACAAAATAAATGATGAGTTAAAATTAACTTATTCTGGGGCGCCTGGGTGGCTCAGTGGGTTAAGCCGCTGCCTTCGGCTCAGGTCATGATCTCAGGGCCCTGGGATCCAGTCCCGCATCGGGCTCTCTGCTCAGCGGGGAGCCTGCTTCCCTCTCTCTCTTTCTGCCTCTCTGTCTACTTGTGATCTCTCTCTGTCAAATAAATAAATAAAATCTTTAAAAAAAATTAACTTATTCCTTACAACCACCATTAGAAGTAGGTGCTGTTATTTTCCCATTTTATGGGAGGGAGTTCCGACTAAGGCATTGCACTCAGGACCCTTTCCCCAGTATTTGGCTACACGCTGGCTCACGATAACCCACAAAAGCTCGACAGACCAAAGGTTCCCAGGCATCAGCAAAGGGCTACAGGTGAATCGTCACTCAGTCCGAGTCCGGTTCTCTGAACCGCGACATTCCGAAATGCTAGAGGCTGCGCAGCGCCGCAGCTAGACCAGGTATCTGGTGACACTCCTCCCGTGGCCCCCGGCGGGGCTCAAAAGGGAACGCCGCTGTGGGGACAGCATTCAACCCCCTACCCGTCCTCTTTCCGGCGAATCTGGGCCCCCGAACGCGGCTGCGCGGCTCCGCGGCTCCGCCCCTTCCCGGTGCGCTCCGCGCGCGGTGAGGTCATTCTGCGCCTCCACACAGCGGAAGCGGCCCTCCCCGCGCACCCTGAACCCCCGGCGCTCAGCCCCGCCCGCATCTCGCGCGCGCTCCAGAACTGGCGATCAGGTACTTGTACCCGCCTCTCCTCGGCCCTGCCCCAGCGCGTGCCTCTGCCTCCCCCAGAGACCCGCGCGTTCAGCCCCGCGTGCCCCGCGCGCTCGTGTCTACCGGGTGGTGACCAGGCCCCCACCCACGCAGCCCCCTGCCCAGGCGTGTTTCCTCATCACCACCACCAAAAAAGAAAAATAAGGAGGGGGTGGTGGGGAGGAGGACTGTCGGGAAGCTTCTGTCCAGAGCTTAGTTTTGAAGTTTTGAATTTGAGTATATAGTTCGGGGCCAAGAATGTGAACGGTAGAAGAGCAGTTTAAGCAATAATGGTGTTCTGAAAGCGGAAGGCTGAGAGCAGTACGTGTAAATGTTAAAAGAGAATTTCCAAGGAAAGAGATGGTCATCGTCCCCCACCCCTGCTTGCAACTCCCAAAAACACACTTTTGGGTAGAGCCAGAAGGAATGGCAGAATAGAATCTGGGGACATTGGGGGAGGGAGACAGGGGGTTAAAAGTTGGTCCTTAAAAGCCAACTAAGCTGATCTCCAAAGGTCTCAGGAGCCCAAGATGGGAGCCCCCACTCTCCTATTTATAGACGGGGAAATCAAGGTCCAGAGTGGGTGGCTTGTCCACAGTCATACACCTGATTCTTGGCAGAGCCAGGTGTAGTAGCCCAGAACTCCTGTTCCTAGGCATTGTTTGTAAATAATAAAATATGTAAATAACGTTTTACAAATATCATTTATGAGTCAAGAAACTCAGCAAGGTCAGTAAGTCCTGTTGGGTAAGCTCAGCCTGTCTTCACCATTTACTCTTCTCCAGGTGCTTGCCGGCCTGCCCTCCCTGGCCCACAGAAGTGCAGTCCACCTGCAGCCAGGCGTTTAAAAGTGCCTGGTCCCTGCTAGTGAAGTAGGTGGGTAGATTTGGGGTAGATGGTGGAGGGCTTTGAACATGAATGCTGCAGGCAATAGGGCACGATGAATATTGGAAATGCACATATGGTACCTTGCTCACCAGGGATTAGATTTGTCGAGGGAATATTAGGTGAGATCCCAAGACTCTAGAAGCCAAATCATTAAGCAGAAAGACAAAATTAAAATACTGCTGTTGAAAGGAAGGTTGTGGGGAGAAAGATTCTAGTTCAATAACAGAAAAATCTTTTCCCCTAGTTACTATGAATGAAATGGTGCTTATTATGTGTTAAGCACTGTTGTAAGAGCTCTACAAAAATTTATTTATTTACTTCTCACAGCAAACCAATGAGGTTGTTACTATTTTGTCACCATTTTAGAGATGTAGTGGCTGAGGTGCAAAGAGGTTGCCCAAGGTAAGTAGATCTGTGCTGAGAAGGAGTGGCCTGGAATCAGAAGATTTGGGTCTCAGTGCCTCCATCACTGGGTGTGTGAATTTACCCTCTCTGAGCTTCAGTTTTCTTATCTGCAAAATGCATATTGTCGTCCTGGCCTCCTACTGAGATACAAAGAGCAGGTACTTTACAAACTGCATTGCGACGCCAATGGAACGCACTACTATTTAATAAAGGAGGGATATACTTCCCAGGACAAATCCCAGTGAAAAAGAGAAAATGACAACCTTGGTTTGACTTGTAGAATTTAAGAGCCTTGCCACTCACAGAGAGGCAAAGATGGAGTCATAGTTAAAATCGTTGGCTGTGGAACCCTGTGACCCAGCAATTGCACGACTGGGTATTTACCCCAAAGATACCCAAAGATGTAGTGAAATGAAGGGCCATGTGCACCCCAGTGTTCATAGCAGCAATGTCCACAATAGCCAAACTCTGGAAAGAGCCCAGATGCCCTTCAACAGATGAATAGATAAAGAAGATATGGTCCGTATATACAATGGAATATTACTCAGCCATCAGAAAGGATGAATACCCAACTTTTGCATCAACATGGATGGGACTGGAGGAGATTATGCTGAGTGAAGGAAGTCAAGCAGAGAGAGTCAATTATCATGTGGTTTCACTTATTTGTGAACATAAGGAATAGCATGGAGGACATTAGGAAAAGGAAGGGAAAACAAAGCGGGAATCGGAGGGGAAGATGAACCATGAGAGACTATGGACTCCAAGAAGAAAACTGAAGGTTTTAGAGGGGAGGGCAGTGGGGGGTTGTGTTAGCTCAGTGATGGGTATTAAGGAGCGTATGTATTGCATGGAGCACTGAGTTTTATATGCAAACGGTGAATCATGGAACACGACATCAAAAACTAACAATGTACTATATGATGACTAATGTAACATAATAAAAAATTTAAAAAACTTTTTTTTAATTTTTAAAAAATTAAATCGTTGGCTGTGAAGTCAGATGGACCTAGGCTGTAATCCCAGCCCTGCCACTTACCACCTCCGTGACCTAAGACAAGGCACATAACGTTTCTCATACTGCATTCTCTTGGTGATCCTCAATGTACTCACCTCTAAAATGGGTCTAATACATTGCTTATAGAGCAGTTGTTAGAATTGAATGAGATGCACTTAATACAATGCCTACAGGTAGCGAGTGCTCAATAACATGTAGTTAGGGCCATTATTTTTTTGATTCTTCTTTTCCTCATCTTCTGTGTATCTTAATATTCCCACAGGGACAGCCTCACCATGTGTGAGGGACTGATGGAGAGGTATGTGGCTGCCATGTTGCTGAGTGCAGCTGGAGATGCCTTGGGGTACTTCAACGGGAAGTGGGAGTTTCTCCGGGATGGGGAAAAGATTCACCGGCAGCTGGCCCAGCTTGGTGGTTTGGATGCCATAGATGTGGAGAGGTGGAGAGTCAGCGATGACACGGTGATGCACCTGGCCACCGCAGATGCTCTTGTGGAAGCCGGCAAGGTCTTGGATTTGGCTCACCTGTATTCCCTACTTGCTAAGCATTACCAAGACTGCATGGAAGACATGGATGGCCGCGCACCAGGTAAGTGCAGCCAGTGGAGGTCACGGGCAGGTGGAGGAGAATACAGCAGGCCCAAGGCACTCATTAAAAATGTTAACTGAGATTTCAATATCAAGGAGATGGTTGTTTTTTTGTAGTTGTGATAAAAATAGAAACAACCTAAATGTTCTCTGATTTATTTAATTATGGTGATGCATTCACAGCTATTTAAAATTATGCAAATAAATATTGACTGATAAAAAAAGATACATATTAAGTAAAAAAATGAGGCTTACAAAATACATAGGGCACCCAAAGGCACATAGTTGCTCTGAACCCGTTGCTCCTTTTCCCAGCCTGGTATTCCATCTATCAGCCTCTTTCTGGCATTCAGGATCTCCCGTGGTCAGGTTTTCCTGGGTTCTCTAAGGGCTTGGGTTCGGAGTCTGATGGTTTCGATGGAGTCACTAGCTAGCTGGTGAAGTGATTTTTGAGCAAGGTTCTTAAGCTCTGAGCCTGAGCTTAGTCATTTAAGAAAAGTCTTGTATGTTAAGCCTACCTTTTTGAGTTACTGTGATGTCTCAGTAATAACTGATAGAGATTCCAAGACTATGAATCTGGTTCTTATGTCATCAGTCTTCTCATGCTAGTGAGAGTTAGGAAGTTAGGAAGTTAGGAAAAGTGTTGGCTTGGGGTTTGGAGTCAGGAGTCATTCATCATATTTGGGGGGCTTTACCTTTCCATCAGAGAAACTTAGGGACTGAACTTGGTTCTTTCCTCCTATAGAGGCCTTTGCTTCTGTTACACTGAGCCTTTGCTCTCCCTGACTCTTGCCAGGGGGTGCTTCAGTGCAGAATGCCTTGCTGCTGAAGCCGGATGAGGCCAATGGCTGGAGAATTCCCTTTAACAGCCATGAGGGTGGCTGCGGGGCAGCTATGCGTGCCATGTGCATCGGCCTCCGGTTCCCTCACCACAGCCAGCTGGACACGCTGATCCAGGTGAGCATCGAGAGCGGCAGGATGACCCACCACCACCCTACAGGCTACCTGGGAGCCCTTGTTTCTGCTCTTTTTACAGCCTATGCTGTGAATGGCAAGCCTCCCAGGCAATGGGGAAAAGAACTGATGGAGGTGCTACCAGAAGCTAAAAAGTACATTATCCAATCAGGCTACTTTTTGGAGAAGAACCTTCAACACTGGTAAGTTGGTAGGTGCATGCTCCTGCTGGGAAATGAATCCGGGGGGCACCTGGGTGGCTCATTTGGTTAAGCGTCTGCCTTTGGTTCAGGTCGTGGTCTCAGGGTCCTGGGACTGAGCCCCACATAGGGCTCCTTGCTCAGTGGGGAGCCTGCTTCTCCCTCTCCTTCTGCCCCCGCCCCCATGCTCTCTTTCTCATGTGCTCTATCTAAAACAAATAAATAAAATCTTTAAAAAAAAAAAAAGACTGAATCTGAGTGTACACATGCATGCACATGGGCACTTAGAATTCATAGATCAAAGCAACCATCCTGGTTTTCACCATCCATTTTTGTTACTGCTGCATCCAGCACTGCCCCTCCCCCTGCCACCTGCTGAAGGGTTTCAAGTTCAGTGGCAGAAATGGTTGCCACCATGTAGCCAGTGAAGACCTCAATGAGTAGTACACCTGCAGGGCTTCCCTGTTGTGTAGGGATCCTGTTGTGTGTTCTAGCCTTCTATCGGTTTTGTGGTTATCCTATACTGCTAAGTTCATGCTGCTGTGAACTTTGCTGCTTATTTCCTAGAACCCATTTCTTCAGTGTTGTCATGACACAACAGTGTTTTGAAATCCTTGGTTACAGTGCCCAAGAGATAGGTTTTTTCACTAGCTAGTTATAAGTGGTAAAGCCACAGTTTCCCTTTTTGGTGAGTTGACGTCACATCACCTTACTTGGAATAAAGAGGTCCAGAAGCTTTCTACTGAATCACCTGTGGTCGTGATGTCCCAAAGTTCTGTCTTGAAAAAAAACGATATAAGTATATAAGGAGATGATGTGTTAATTAGGCTGACTAGAGTAACCTTTTTACTATGTATCTATTATATCATCTTTTAAAATAATTTTAATTTTAAAATAATTTTAATAATTTTTAAAAAATAATAAAGGAAGGGGTGTCTGGGGGGCTCAGTTGTTTGAGCTTCCAACTGTTGGTCTCCGTTTCAGTCTTGATTTCAGGGTTGTGAATTCAGGACCCACACACTGGGCTCCACAGTGGGCATGGAGTCTATTAAAAAAAAAAAAACTGGTGCCTGGGTGGCTCAGTGGGTTAAAGCCTCTGCCTTCGGCTCAGGTCGTGATCCCAGAATCCTGGGATTGAGCCCCACATCGGGCTCTCTGCTCAGCAAGGAGTCTGCTTCCCTCTCTCTTTCTCTCTGCTTGCCTCTGTCTACTTGTGATCTCTCTCTGTCAAATAAATAAATAAAATCTTAAAAAAAAAAAAAAGAGAAGAAAGAAAAAAAAGCAAGTAAGTTTCATCTTTGGAAGGTGATATTTGATACTATTCTCAATTCAGGAAAAATAGACCTTCATTTCTCACCTTTAACTTCCTGTTTTATTTAGCAGCATGTATTGGTGCCTTCTTTATATTACTCCTTGGCAAAAATTTATTGAACAAATGGCACTTAGAGATTTTGAGTTTTTAATACAATTTCGATATTAGCACAAGAAGTTGAAGTCATCTTGGAATTCTCCCTGTTCCCACATCTATTTGGTACCTCTCAAATTTATTGTTTCAGTTGACTATAGAATTTTTCCTTCCTACAGGTCCTACTTTCAAGACCAATGGGAAAAATACCTAAAACTTAGAGGGATTTTGGATGGCAAGTCAGCCCCTATCTTCCCCAAGCCCTTTGATGTCAAGGAGAGGGATCAGTTCTATACCTCCATAAGCTACTCTGGCTGGGGTGGCAGCAGTGGCCACGACGCCCCCATGATTGCCTACGATGCCATCTTGGCTGCGGGAGACTCCTGGAAGGAGCTTGCCCACCGAGCCTTTTTCCACGGGGGAGACAGCGATTCTACTGCTACTATTGCTGGCTGCTGGTGGGGAGTTATGTATGGTCTGAAAGGAGTGAGCCCCTCCAACTATGAGAAACTGGAATACAGAAACCGGCTGGAGAAGACAGCCAGGGCTTTGTATGCTCTGGGCTCAAAGGAGGACACTGTAATTGCCCTTTAGTGAGATGTGATGTCATCTCTTGTTTTTTCCCTCTTGTGTGGTCCAGTTTCTTTTCACTTTTTCCCAGATCAAGAGTTTTAACCTTATACTCCAGGAGTTTTGAGATGACATGTCCCTTAAGCACCTGAAGCTCATTTTTCCAAACTCACCCTATCCCCCCAAATCTGTCCCTCTTTCCATCCTAAAGAATCCTTATCTCCATTGACAGAGTCAGTGTCTCCTCAAGGTAGAAGTCTTCAAGCCTCACACTTGAGTCTTCATGTTCATCATCTAAACTTTGACTAAGTTTTTTCTGTTTGTTTCAGGTTGAGTTCCCCAAAGGTGGACTCTCAGACAAGGATTTAAATACAAGTCATTTACTGGGGAGGTGACTCCAGGAAGTGATGAGAATGGGGAATTGAGACAAGGAGGGCAGGGAGGCCAGTACAACGTACATTACTGAGCACGTTACCACTGAGGGCATTGGGAGTTAGTCCATCTGGGTTCTCGGGGTAAGCCATGGCTCAGAGGAGTTCCAACTGAGGAGCAAGCAAACTAAGGTGTTTATCCATCTGACAGTGGTTGAGGACCTCTCCTAGGGATGCTCACTCCCTGGCACTTCTCATCCGGCCTCTTGTGCAAGCCACACCCAGCTGTCTTTAGGCAAAGACTCAGGTGCTTGCAGCAGCATACAGTGCATTGGAGCAGTGAGGATGATAATGTGGGGTTCCAACAGCATCTCTGCCAGGTAGTTCTACCTCAGTATCCTTCATATCTACTACCTCTTTTACCTTTCTGCACCATCCATCTCTCAGCTGGATTTCACAGCCCAGGCTACTCAGGTATGGGAGGTGCCACTCCTAGGCGTGCTCTGTACGTCACTGGCCGTGACACTTCATGTGTTGCCGGTTTCGTTGTCCATCTGCTTGTCTTTATTCTCCAGACACAACCTAGCACAGTGTCTGTGAACATGGGAGGTACTAAATTCGTATATATGAAGTGAATGTTGTTAATTAACCTGCCTGGTGCCTTAACTCCATTCTTGACTCCCTCCTTGCCCTCCAGAGTTCTCTTTACAAATAACAGATCAGTCATGCTGAACTTCTACTCATAGTCCAGTGAATGTGCACCCCCTTTCCTCATTTCTTGATGCTCTTCCCTCTCCTTTTTCACCTGGTAGATTCTTACTCATCCCTCAAGCCCCAGCTCAGGTAGAACCTTCTAGGTGAAACCTGGTCTGATTGTTCAGGGACTGGGCCACTTTCTTCTCTTATGCCCACAGCCCTCTGTCTCCAGCCTTGTCACCACACTGATCCTGTTGTGTGGTCGTTGGGTGTCTTCTGAGGACAATCTCAGATTCCTTGTGAGGAATTGTTCTCTTTGTGGCCTTCCTGCTTGGCCCACGAGATACATTCAGTAAACATTACTTTGGAAGTTCATCCAATTGTGTGGATGTGAATGCTTTCAACATGCAGTTCCACATCTGTTTCAGACACCTGCTACTTCACGGTTGCTGGGAGTGTCATGTGATGCGCTGGGAGAAATGGCGAGTCTGATGCTTTAATCAAGCCCGTGTACTGACTTATGTGAGACAAAGCTCTTGGCTCCATATTTGCAGCAGGACTCCAGCAGAGGCATGGGATTTATAAGTCTTATATACATATAGGGAGAAGGGAATTCCAAAGTTAATTTTCTGGCTCAAAAAACTCTCATGTGTGTTTACATATTTCAGAAAACAAGCATGTTTTAAATATTACGAGTATGAAAACAGATTGTTCAGTAAGAAAACCAACTGGAATTGTTGACTTTCAAGGGTGCTCATCTACAGGTCACAGAGCAATGTACTAACTTCGTAAATTCCCACATCTTAAAAGACTCCTTTGTATAAATATTCTGACGTCAGTTTGAGAATCATAGAAAATACACGGTATGTACATTTTTACACAAGGTTCCTGAGTAGATTAGGTTGGAGACCCTCACGACTGCTTTTCATTTCCCACTTGATAAGATCTCACTTTATAGCACAGAACAGTGGGTGTTTTTCTGCAGATGTAAGAAAAGAGGAAACATTTCTCCTTTGTCTCTCTCAGGTTTCTTTTTCTCAGTAGTTGGGAGCCTGCACTTTGAAGGTGGAACACTAGAATTCTCTCAGCACTAACCAAAAAGCAGACCTGGGATGCTTAAATCCTACAGTATAGAAAAGAGCAGGGGAGAATTTTAACAAGTGAAATCTGAGGCATGACTTGTTTTACTTCTGTACCCAGTTTGGTAAATTGTCTGAATTTAGTGAGTAAAACATGAAATGATTTTATTTTTCCTCCATTACGGCCTTCAGTATACCGTGTTGAAGCTGCTTTTCTTGTCCCTTTGTAGATCACATAGTTTTTGGTTTTTTGATGGGGGGTGGGGAGCATATTAAAAACTCAACCCAGTTGATCCCAGTACAGTGTTTTTTTTTAAAATTTCAGCTTTATTGAAGCATAATTGACATAAGATTATAAGGTATTTGAAGTACATTGTGGTGATTTGATGTACATATACATTGTGACTAGACTCCCCCCATCTAGTTAATGACCATATTCATCACTGCACACATTTATCTTTGCGGGGGGTGAGAACATTTAAGTTCTACTCTCAGCAAATTTCAATTCTACAGTATAGTGTTATCAACTGTTGTCACCCTATTATACCTCAGATCCTCAGACCTCATTCATCTTCATCTTTTACCAATCTCTCCCTGTTCCCCCACCTCCCAGCCCCTGACAACCACTTTTCTACTTTGTTTCGTTGAGTTTGGCATTATTTTTTTTTTTTTTTTTTTGAGATTCCACATGTAAGTGAGATACCATGCAGTATTTGTCTTTTTTTCTGTCTGGCTGTTTCACTTAGCATAATGCCTTAAAGTCCATCTCTGTTGTCGCAAATGGCTGGATTTCCTTCTTTCGCAGGGCTGGATGATATTCCATTGTATGTATGTATGTATTATGTATATATCACACCTTTATCCATTCATCTGTTGACACTTAGGTTGTTTCCTTTCTTGGCTATTGTGGATAGTGCTGCAGTGAACACAGAAGTGCAGACCTTTTGAGACCCTGTTTTCATTTCCTTTGGATTTTTTTTTTTTTTTTTAAAGATTTCATTTATTTGAGAGAACATGCACAAGTGGGGGAAGGGATAGAGGGACAAGCAGACTCCCCACTGAGCAGGGAGACTGGCACGGGGCTCCATCCCAGCACCCTCACACCATGACCTGAGCAGAAGGCAGATGCCTAATTGACTGAGCCACCCAGGTGCCTCTGATTTCCTTTGGATTTATACCCAGAAGTGGAATGGAATCCCAGTCCAGTTTTATCAGTTCTACAACTTTGGGGTCATGCCCTCCTCCCTCCACCCCACTGTCAGTCCTGGGCCCAAAGAACTTAGAGGAGAAATGGGGACATTCCTCCCCTCCCTCTTCTAGGCTCCTCGCTCCTCTCAAGTGTTGTCCTGAGATCTTTCTCACTAGTGGAGCACTGGTAAGAAAGGCTCAAGGCTGCTGTCTTCTGGGGAGTCCACTCAGCCCAGGGGAAACTTGTCCTTCCTGCTCACATCCAGCAGTGGGAGTGCAGGCTTCCCACCTGCTGCTGTCTCACATTTCCACCCATCCCTCTCAGGGAGGTGCTGGTGTAACCTTGATGTGGTCACCTTCAGTCTCAGTGGGTAGGCCCTCCCTCACAAGCTTGTTGTGGAGGATCAGAAAGAGTACCACCTCTCCTCCCCTTTTAAGAAGGTAAGGGGGAACCCCCGCCAAATGCTGACACTTTTTTTTCATTCGAATCACTATAGTTTTCAGCTGGGGGAGGTGGGTGCTACCGCCAAATGCTGACACTCTTTTTTTCATTTGAATCACTATAGTTTTCAGCACAACTTCAAAAAGAGTTCAGATTTTCAGCCTCCTTTTTTTTCTCAAACCTCAAAATCTCTTCAGACTACTCTCAACTGGAAACCTTGCTTGCTATCTCTCTGAGAAAAAAGGAGCAAACAGAAGAGAACAATTGCACACTCCCCTCACTACCTCTGCCCATCCACCTACATTGACTCATAGTCTCCACCTTTGCTCCTGACTATGAGTGCTAGTGTGTGTGTGTAGAAGGAGGAAGGATGAGAATGAACAGATGAAAGAGCTAATAAACTTAATTATATGCATGTGGTTTTTGTTTTTTTTTTTAAGATTTTATCTATTTGTCAGAGAGAGGGAGAGAGCCCAAGCAGGGGGAGCAGCAGGAAGAGGGAGAAACAAACTTCCCCCTGAGCAAGGAGTTCCATGGGGCTTAATCCCAGGATCCCAGAACATTGGTATCATGACCTGAGCTGAAGGCAGACGCTTAACCAACTGAGCCACCCAGGTATCTTTATATGCATGTTAAAGTAAATTAAAAAACAATCTGATGCACAAAAGAATTTATCATGCTTATTAAGTTAATACCTGTGTACTAAAACAGAATAGATCATGTGAATGTTACAGGATTAATGATATGTTTTCAACCCGCTATATGACCGTGCTTCATTTGCTTTCTTTGTTATCGAAGATTGCTAGATGTTATCTTGAAGTCTTGGCAATATTTTTTTAAGATGTGAAAAATTAGCACTGGGCTCATCCCCCCTTCTCCAAGCTTCTTCAGCCACCATATTCTCCATTTACTCCTCTCTACCTCTCCAGACTAAACATACATCTTTTTTAGACAGCCACAGAGCTACTGAGAGAGTGGGGGAAGGGATGGAAATCCTGATGATTTCATATCCAGCCAGCCTACTGAATCAGCTCCTCAAGGAATGGCTGCTGAGGTCTGCTTAGGAATCTAGGGATCATCCATATAGGGCATAGTAGGGAGACTTGCCATCAGTTTTCATCCTTAGGGTTTGGGGGTTGAGAGAAGTGACACCTAGGTGTAGGGTAGACTCTTTCCATTTGGAGAAGGAAAAAGAGGAGAAGAAAGAGCTACCCTGTGTCAGGTAGTTCACCATAACCCATTAACAGGTGAAGAAATTGGGCTCTGAGAAGCTGCCATCTGTCCAAGGTCACACATCTAGGTGAGAAGGAGCTGGGGTTTTCAGTCTCTTTCAGTGTCTTCAGTCCTGTCATACTACAAGTGTTAGCTGTAGTTAGAATGTTTCCTTAGGCAAGGCCAAAATGAAACCCCAAGAGTTATATGGTGATGGCAGAAGCCTGTGCCCTCTGTTCACCTTCCCACAACCATGAGGTGAAGGCAGGACTTCAAATGTGGATGTGGGTGCAGGAGTAGGGAGGGGCAGAATGGAGTCCAGGTCATTCGGTGAAATGGACAGAATCTTCACTCTCCTCTCAACATCACTTCCCTCCTCAGAGAGCCTCCTCTTCTCACACCAAAGACACCCCACCCGATGCCTGGGCCGCGATTAGGACTTCCTCCACACTGTGCTTGGTTACACCAGTTCCATGTAAGGTTCCTACTTCACCTTTAGTTTTTCTGTATCATCATCTGTACAGGCAGAGTGGTCTTGGGCAAGTGTCTGCTCTCAGGGTCTCTAGGCTTGGTGCCCGTGGACTTTCAAATCTAACATCCAAAGAACATGAGTCAAAAATGAGATTGTCTGAAGATTGGGACAGTGTCCAATAAAGAACCCTATGGTTTCTCCTGAGCTACAGAGCTGTGGATAGAGGTTTGTGCTTTGAATAGAGGGCCATGCTTCAAACCAGTGTTCCCCATCATTTTGGATGGTATATGGGCAACCATCTCCCATTGCTAATGCCAGCAGGCAGAGGTCACACAGTCTGCTTGTCAGACCACTTCAGGGGCTAGTCCTGTCTTCTCTTTAATGCAAATTGTCTGACTAAAGTCCATTTGTGAAACCTTATTTAAATGAAAACCTGAAAAACATGTAAGCACAGGTGGTAGGGGGACATGGCAAGAATAGAGGAGGTGACACTGAACGAGTGAAATTGGGAAACGTGACTTTCAGCAAACAGATGAATCTCCAGCAGGATGATGTCTACTGGAGACTGCTCTAGTGATGGTGACATTTTGGGATGAGATGTGCTTTCAGATGTCCCTGACTTTACACCAGCCCTGAATCCAGGAAACTGGGAGGAAGTCACCCTCCAAGGGCATGCATGTTTTCCCTCTTGCAGGAACATGGTAAGTAAACCTAAGAAAAAGCGCAATCTGTGCTGTTTTGCGAAAGACCTGGCTCTGCTCCTGGGCATGATAGTTACCCCTCCAGGCCTGAGGTTGTTGAGGGCTAATGTACTTCAGAGTCAATAATGGCTACCTTGAAGGCTGTGGTGAGGATGAGACTAGATGTGAGATAATAGAAAATATGTATCTTGGTCTCTGCCCTTGGTTCCTGTCCCAAAGCTCCCGAAACCCCGGTAATTTCCTACATTATCAGATTGCTAGGAGCATCTTTAGTTCTAATAGTTGGTCTTTGGCCTCAGTTCCTGACACAGGGCTCCTGAAACGCTTGTAATTTCTTGGGTGATAAGAGTGTGATATGTTCTTTTTTTTTTTTTTTTTAAAGATTTCATTTATTTATTTGTCAGGGAGAGAGAGCAAGCACAGGCAGACAGAATGGCAGGCAGAGGCAGAGGGAGAAGCAGGCTCCCCGATGAGCAAGGAGCCCGATGCAGGACTCGATCCCAGGACACCGGGATCATGACCTGAGCCAAAGGCAGCTGCTCAACCAACTGAGCCACCCAGGCGTCCCATAGAGTGTGATATGTTCTGATGAGATCACTCTGAGTGGATTCCCGGATGGCTCCTGGATGAGGGCTGGTCACCAGAAAGACTAAGCCATGATTGGAAGCTTAGATTTTTCAGCCCTGCCCCCCACTCTCTTGAAAGAAGAAGGGCTAAAAATGGAGTTAATGATTGATCATGCCTATGTGAAGAAGCTTCCATAAAATCCCAAAAGAATGGGCTTGGAGAGTTTCTGAGTTGGTGAACCCATGGAGGGTTAAACACACTTTAAAAAAGAATAGAGAGCCCAGAAATAGACCCTCAACTCTATGGTCAACTAATCTTCGACAAAGCAGGAAAGAATGTCCAATGGAAAAAAGACAGCCTCTTCAATAAATGGTGTTGGGAAAATTGGACAGCCACATGCAGAAAAATGAAATTGGACCATTTCCTTACACCACACACAAAAATAGACTCAAAATGGATGAAGGACCTCAATGTGAGAAAGGAAACCATCAAAATCTTGAGGAGAACACAGGCAGCAACCTCTTCGACCTCAGCCACAGCAACATCTTCCTAGGAACATCACCAAAGGCAAGGGAAGCAAGGGCAAAAATGAACTATTGGGATTTCATCAAGATCAAAAGCTTTTGCACAGCAAAGGAAACAGTTAACAAAACCAAAAGACAACTGACAGAATGGGAGAAGATATTTGCAAACGACATATCAGATAAAGGGCTAGTGTCCAAAATCTATAAAGAACTTAGCAAACTCAACACCCAAAGAACAAATAATCCAATCAAGAAATGGGCAGAAGACATGAACAGACATTTCTGCAAAGAAGACATCCAGATGACCAACAGACACATGAAAAAATGCTCCACATCACTCAGCATCAGGGAAATACAAATCAAAACCACAAT